TCTAGAGGGGGGAGGAGGAAGAGGGCTTCTTTGGCAGTCCTGGGGGGCTCTGGCTCTCCTTCCCCCCTTCCTCTTCTTTGCACACAGCCCCCAAGGGGCGGATTGAGGGGAGCACTTGCAGGACCCTCTTCTCCTTTGCACAGGAAACCCCCCACCCCACCCTGCAGCTCCAAACACCCACCTCTCTAGCGGCATGTCCACTCGCACAATGATTTTCTTTTGAAGTTGTTGTTGTTCCCCCTGCAGCCCCTGAAGATTAAACTCTTGCAGCTTTTGGTCTTGGGGTTGAAAAACCACCGTTGTTGTCAGTGCAATAGCCTTCCTCGGGGGGGGGGGCAGGTGGCAGACGTCTGCAGGGAGGATGGAGGAGGTGGAGGTTGGCATAAGGTGGGCAGCTATATGGATGTGCAAGAGAGGGAGGGAGGGAGGGAGGGAGGGAGGGAGGGAGGAAGGAAGGAAGGAAGGAAGGAAGGAAGGAAGGAAGGAAGGAAGGAAGGAAGGAAGGAAGGAAGGAAGGAAGGAAGGAAGGAAGGGAAGGACCCAGAAGGCTGGGCCCAGGCCAGTCTCCCCATCAAGGGACTCAGTCTTCCCTTCCCCCCCCCCATGTCCCCCCTTTCCTCCCTCAGCTCTGTTTGGGCATTTGGGGCTTCCTTTCAGGCAGGCACCCCTGGAAATGGGGGGTGCAGGCAGGAGCACCTGCTGGGCGCAGCACGAATGGGGAAGAACTGGGGATGCAGCCCCCTCCTCCCTCCCAGGTTGCTTCCCTCCTCCTGCCTGTTTCAGGGTTAGGCTTAGATGTGAACAGAGGCAACACATCTGTCATTTTGCCTATTCATTCCAGACTCTTCTCTGCACACCCCCCCCCCAAGCCTGACCTGCCCGCCTGCCTGTCTGACGGAGCCCCTGCCCTTCCGTCCCCTCCAGGAGCGGAGCCTCCGAGTCTGCGCTTCCTGCCTGCAGGGCCCGGGGTTCAGGCCAAGGAGCAGCGAAGACCTGGACGGCTCCCCTGGCCTGGATGGCTCCCCTGGCTTGACCCCCAGCCTGCACAGGACCCCCGCCCATTCAGCCCTGCCTCAGGAAGGCAGCCCCGATGGGGGAGGAGAAGCAGGGGGGCTTCTGAGCTGGGGCCCAGCTTGACTGCGAAATCCCTCCCCTGGGCTGTGGGAAGTGCCCCTCATGCAGCCCCACAAAGGGGGCTGGAGCAACCCCATCAGAGACAGTTGGGGGGCAGGAAAGAGGGGAGCCTCCCCCCACCCCATACTGGATCCTGAGGTCAGCTGCACCAAAGGGGAACAGGGGAAGCACCACAAAAGAAGGAGAAGAGGCGTGAAGCTGGGTTGGGCCTTTTCCCACATGGGCTCAACAGAGCCTCCCACCCAAAGACCCCTGCCACCCCTCATCCTGCCCCCCCCAATGGCCTAAGGAAGCACCAAGGGGTGACCAGGCGACCCCCCCCCCGACCCCCAGCCCCGACTCCTCCCTGCCCAGCAGCTGGGCTTACTCTTCGGTGCACAATACTCCTCGCATTGCTCCATTGTGTTGAAGCGGTTGTGCCTGAAGCGGCACCCATAGTCAACATAACGCTTGCAGTTCTTGGAGGTAACGTTGTAGTAAAAACGATCTACAGGCAGCCCACATTTCATGTAAATTTTGGAGAAGACGCCGCAGTTGCCCTCAACTGGCGAGAGAGAAGATTTGGGAAACTCAACCTTTGCCCAGTTGTAGGTGCTCAGGGGGAGACAGGCAGATCGGTGTGGGAAAAGGCTGCAGGGAAAGGGGGCTGTCAGGTGAAACCAGCAAGGCCGTTTTGAAAGAGGCAGAAGAAGCGAAGTCTTAAAGGAGGAAAAAAACATGGATAGGAGGGGGGAGCGCCTCCCAAGGAGCATCACACGGGGGGGGGATGCTAAACACGAGTCAGTGGAGAAGTAGAGACTCTGGCTGAAAAGAAGCCACAATTCCCGGTCTTTTGTGCTGCTGATCAGATCCCACTAGGACGTTACACTCAATTCTGTGTCCTGAATTTGAAGGAGGAAGTTGACGACCAGGACCAGCATTCAAACAAACCATTGTGGGGAGGTGGGCTTAGCCTTGAGAAGGGGAAGGAAGGGAAGCCGGAAGCGAAGGGAAAGAGCAGGGACAGAATAACAAACAAGGTTTCCGTGATTGAGGAGACAGATTAAGTTTGGGAAATCTTTGATCATAGTCACAGCTCTTTGACTCTGGCGTGGACACCCGTGAGAAGCAGGGAGCAATCCTTTACGGGAGGGCTATTCAATCAGTGGTACAGGTACCACCTGTGGTACATTGGCACCTGGCAGGTGGTACGCGACTTGCCAGGTACCTAAAAAAGTGGTAGCAGGGGAGGGGAATGAGCTGAACTGGTGGTAGCACTGCACAAGCCTGAGAGAGAGAGATGGCTGGAGCTGCAGGGCTGTCAGGGCTCAGCAGAAGTGCCAGGATCAGCACTTCTTCGGGACGTCAGGGCTCAGTGGAAGCACCAGGTTCAGCGCCAGCTCCAGCTGGAGCTCGGCACTGATCCTGGTGCTTCTGCTGAGCCCAGAAGAAGCACCTATCAGCTAGAAAGCAGCACTGATCCTGGTGCTTCTGCTGAGACCAGAAGAAGCGCCGTTCCGCTGGAATGTTGCAGCATCTCTTCTGATTTACATTCCGATGCTTGGCAACTGATTCATATTTATGATGGTCACAGTGTCCCAGAGTCATGTGAAGTAACCAAAACCTGCTGCAACCACCAGAAGACGGGGGAAATAAAACCAAACACCCCCCCCCACCCCTACTGCCAATCCTCAACAGAAATGCTCACAACAATGAAAACCTCGGACAGGAGCATCGCCCGGTGGGCAGGCAGGTGTCTTGCTCAGCTGTGGCTTGCAGGGCACTTTTTTCAGTGCCATTGTAACTTTGAACAGTCACTAAGCGAACTGTTGTAAGTCAAGGACTACCTGTACTTTATCAACTTTTTCCTTTTGGGGGGGGTTATCAAGGTTTTGACACCTTGCTACGTGAGTGGTGGTACTCGGATGTTGCCATATCCTAAAAGTGGTACAGTGGGTGAACAGGTTGAAAAGCCCTGCTTTACGGAAGCGTCTGAACAGAGCTGGGGGCTGGGGGGAGTGATCTGTCAGAGAGCTTCCTGCCCTAAGCAGAGGGTGGACTAGATGACCTCCCTGAGTCTACAAACTCTTACATTCCTTAATTCTACGAATATTTGTGTCAAGATCAGTAACTCCCTGCTCTGTTTCTGGATGTTAATGTTATTATGATGTTAATAGTATTAATGAGATTGATTATGTTATTGGTATTATGATAATGTAATTATGTTTCGCTTGGTTTTATAATCTGCAAGCTGTCAGAGTCGCCTTGTAAGGGATACGGGCGGCATAGGAGTTTAATAACTAAATAAAAATAACATTAAAATACTCCGCAGGATGCTGCTGCGGTCCCCTTCAGCAACGTTTGCCCAGGGAGGATGGGGGGACGTGGAAGGTGGGGTCCGGGCCCCCATTTATCGAGGCCTTTTTCTGCACTGGGCTGATTCTGGCCCTCCCCCCCTGCCCCAGCCTCTTTGAAAGGGTCGCCCCTGCCCTGCCTTCCAGTTCCGAGGGGGGTGGCATCCTTGGGAAGCTGGGACCCTTCCCCCTGCCCAAACTGCACCCGGCCAAGACATCCCCGAAATGAAACCTTGCCCCCTCCCCTCACCTCTCCCATCTGGGGCTTCGCCAAGGACGGAGGACCACCATTCCCATCTCCAGGGAAGAGAACGGGGGTATCTGGGGGGTGCACAGCCCTGCGGGATGGGGGGTGGTTCTCTTGGGCATCCAGGGCGCATCCCCGAGGCTCCAGCTGGAGGCCATTCAGACGGGGCGGGTGCTTTTGAGATCCAAAGACCCCTCTGGCTGAGGCATCCCGCTGCCCACCCGTCCTCTCCCCCTCCACACTCACAGTTGTTGCTCTGCATGATCACAGGGCTGCAGACGGCAAAGTCACCCCAGAAGAGGAGGAGGAGGAGGCTGCGACCAGAGCTCATGGTGCTGGCTGGGCGACTGAGCTGTCTCCCGCTCCTCTCCCGGGCAAAGGGCATGGTGCCCCTGACCCCCCGTTTCTTCTCCCCTGGAGGGCTGGGCTGGGAAACCAGAGGGCCATCAAGATCACCCAGAGCTCCCAGTTTATGAGCAGATGCAGCCCATTAATTTTATTAAGCACACCACGGACCCTGAGCTGGAACAGAGCAGAATTTGTACAATGGGTGGGATGTAGACACCGCAGCCTGTTTCCATGGTCCAGTGTAGTTTTTGCAATTTCGTGACCAGGAATGTCTGCATGTGGGGCATCCTCAAGGGCAGCCATGACACAAGGATTTATTTTTTGAGTCTGATGAGATCTAAGTGAACATGGATCCCAAAATGCCACCTCCTCATGCAGGTATCTCAAAGGTGGGGGGGGTGAGGTCACCTGCGTTCCAAACAACCTGGAGAAATGCCTCCCCTTCCACCCAGGGCAGTTCCAGTTGATGGGCAGTGTCCAGTTCTTGCTGGCATCCTTGGTGAAGCTGGTTCTGCTCACCAATCTGAGTCCCTCCCAGTCAGAGCCCAGGAGAGAAAGACGCCAGCTCCTCCGATGCCAGGGCTTGTACCCACAGGAGGACAGGGGCTCTGGGGAGCAGATCGCTGACCCTCGGCTCCTCCTGACTTCCAGAGGGGAGGCTGTGACGGAGCGCCTTGCCCACTTTTGTCCAGTTCAACGTCCAGGCAGAGCAGACGAGCTCAGGGACAGGAAACTTGGGTGGCTCCTGTGTCGGAAGGGAGAGAGCCCCCCCCCCAGCCCTCTCCCCACCCCCTGTCTGTGCTGGCTCCTTGGGTGGGAAGGGCTGGCACACGCTGCCCTCTCTGCCTGGCAAGGAGGGAAGGGAGCAGCCAGAGGGGCACCCATTGCTACAGAGGCACAGGGGGGGCACCAGAAAAGTGCCCCACAGGCGTGGCAAACTCTGTGGTGGTGAAGAGGGGGGGCAGCCTTTGCGCCCTTCTGGGAATCGCATCCCGAGCAACACCCCTGCAACAGGCACAGAATCCGGGACCACCGTCTCCTTCGGGCAATAATTTATTCCAGAATTCCCTTCCTTCCGAAGGCGCCTGGAGGCTCCCTGCGCCTGGCCTCGTCCTGATCCATCCCTCTTTCTTCAGCACAAAGAAGCAGGCCGAGCTTCCCTCCACGGAGCCCTTAGGGAGAGCCTGGAAAAGGGAAGGAGGCCTCAGAAACGGTCTTCCCTGGGGATGGGGGGGAGAGGCGGGGGGATTCCCAGCCCTCCCTCCAGGGGTGTTGGACAGCCCCTCCAGCCTCCACCTTTGTGACCCCCCAGCTACTCTAGTAGCCCTCATTTTGGGGCAGACCAGCCCCCCCTTCCCTGGGGGAAGCTGACCTGCTCTTCTGGAGCAGGCTTAGGGTCGAGGGGAGCCCTTCTAGCTGGGGGGTGGAGCAGAGGTTCTTCTGGGATATATGTCCTGGGATGTCTTGAGGGGGGAGCAGGAAGAGGGCTTCTTTGGCAGTCCTTGGGGGACGGGCTCTCCTTCCCCCCTTCCTCTTCTTTGCACACGGCCCCCAAGGGGCGGATTGAGGGGAGCAATTGCAGGACCCGCTGCTCCTTTGCACAGGACTCCCCCACCCTGCAACTCCAAACACCCACCTCTCTAGCGGCATGTCCGCTCGCACAACCATTTTCTTTCGAAGTTGTTGTTGATGTTGTATCCCCCGCAGCCCATGAAGATTAAACTCTTGCAGCTTTTGGTCTTGGGGTCGAAAAACCACCGTTCTCGTTTGTAATTGCAAACGCCCTTGATGGGCGGCAGGTGGCAGACGTCTGCAGGGAGGATGGAGGAGATGGAGGTTGGCATAAGGTGGGCAGCTATATAGATGTGTAAGGGAGGGAGGGAGGGAGGGAGGGAGGGAGGGAGGGAGGGAGGGAAGGAAGGAAGGAAGGAAGGAAGGAAGGAAGGAAGGAAGGAAGGAAGGAAGGAAGGAAGGAAGGAAGGAAGGAAGGAAGGAAGGGGAAGGGAAGGAAGGAACCCAGAAGGCTGGGCCCAGGGAAGTCCCAGCATCAGGGGACTCAGTCTTCCCTCCCCCCATGCCCTCCCCCTTTCCTCCCTCGGCTGTATTTGGGCATTTGGGGCTTCCTTTCAGGCAGGCACCCCTGGAAATGGGGGGTGAAGGCAGGAGCTCCTGCTGGGTGAAGCACGAATGGGGAAGAACTGGGGATGCAGCCCCCACCTCCCTCCCAGGTTGCTTCCCTCCTCCTGCCTGTTTCAGGGTTAGGCTTAGATGTGAAGAGAGGCAACACATCTGTCATTTTGCCTATTCATTCCGGAATCTTCTCTGCATCCCCCCCCAAGCCTGACCTGCCCACCTGCCTGTCTGACGGAGCCCCTGCCCTTCCGTCCCCTCCTGGAGCGGAGCCTCCGAGTCTGCGCTGCCTGCCTGCAGGGCCTGGGGTTCAGGCCAAGGAGCAGCGAAGACCTGGATGGCTCCCCTGGCTTGACCCCCAGCCTGCACAGGACCCCCGCCCATTCAGCCCTGCCTCAAGAGGGGAGCCTCCCCCCACCCCATACTGGACCCTGAAGTGAGAACTGGTCAAGGGTGGGCTGGGTCGTGCAGGGGCAGCACCCCCAAAGAAGCTTAGAAGAAAGAGTGCAAAGCTGGGTTGGGCCTTTTCCCACAGGGGCTCAGCAGCACCCCCCCCCCGCCCGCCCGAACACCCCTGCCACTGTTCAGATTGCCCCCCCGGCCCCCAGCCCTGGCTCCTCCCCACCCTGCAGCTGGGCTTACTCTTCGGGTCACAGTACTCCAGGCATTGCTCCATGCTGATGTAACGGTTGAGCCTCCCGGGGCATCCATAGTCAACAAAAGTCTCGCACCTCTTCTTGAGGATATTGTAGAAAAAAAGATCTACAGGCTTACCGCATTGCTTGAGATTTCTATGGAATTGGAAACAGTTGCCATCATCTGGGTAGAGAGAAGAAGATTTGGGAAACTCAACCTTTGCCCAGTTGTAGATGCTCAAGGGGAGACAGGCAGATCGTTGCGGGAAAAGGCTGAAGGGAAAGGGGGCTGTCAGGTGAAACCACAAGGCCGTTTCGAAAGAGGCAGAAGAAGCGAAGTCTTAAAGGAGGAAAAAAAACATGGATAGGAGGGGGGAGCGCCTCCCAAGGAGCATCACACGGGGGGGGGGAGGATGCTAAACACGAGTCAGTGGAGAAGTAGAGACTCTGGCTGAAAAGAAGCCACGATTCCCGGTCTTTTGTGCTGCTGATCAGTTCACAGCTAGGACGTTGCACTCAATTCTGTGTCCTAAATTTGAGGGAGGAAATTGATGACCAGGACCAGCATTCAAACAAACAATTGTGGGGAGGTGGGCTTAGCCTTGAGAAGGGGAAGGAAGGGAAGCAAGGAAAGAAAGGGAAAGAGCAGGGACAGAATAACAAACAAGGTTTCCGTGATTAAGGAGGCAGATTAAGCTTGGGAAAACCCTGATCGTAGTCATAGCTCTTTGACTCTGGCGTGGACACCCGTGAGAAGCAGGGAGCTCTCCTTTATGGGAGGGTCTGAACAGAGCTGGGGGAGGGAGAGCATCTGTCAGGGAGCTTCCTGCCCTAAGCAGAGGGTGGACTAGATGACCTCCCAGAGTCTAAACTCTTACATTCTGTAATTCCACCAATATTTGTTTCAAAACCAATAACTCCCTCCTCTGTTTCTGGGTGTTAAATGTTATCATAATGTTATTAACATTAAGAACATCAATTATGTTATCCATATTAATTATTATATAATTATATAATATATATATAATAGGCGGCATAAGAATTAAACAAATAAATAAATAACATTAAAATAACCCTGCGGGCTGCTGTGATCCCCTTTGGGGAGGGTGGGGGGAAGGCGCAGACCCGACCCCGTTCATCCACATCTTCTTCTGCAGCAGAATCCTCTCTCTGATTCCGGACCTTCCCCCTCTGCTCGCCCCTTCCCATGACCCCCTTTGAAAGGGTCGCCCCGCCCTGCCTTCCAATTCTGAGGCGGGCAGCGTCCTAGGGACCCCTTCCCAAAGCCGAAAGGGCACCGGGCCGACAGGGACCCCAAAAGAAAGCCTGGCCCAGCAGAGCCTCCTCCCTGCTCCTTCTCCAGTCTAGAGTTTCACGAAGGATGGAGGACTGCTATTCTTGACTCCAGGGAAGAGAATGGGCGGTTTCTGGGGGGCTGAAAGGGGGGTTCTCCTGGGTATTCAGGGCAGGCGGGTTTAGATAAGGTGACTGCTTTGGAGGTCTGAAACCCCTCTGGCTGAGGCATCCCACCGCCCACTGCCCTCTCCCCCTCCACACTCACAGGAGTCGGCCAGTATGAGCTCAGGGATACAGAGGGCAAAGTCGCCCCAGAAGAGGAGGAGGAGGAGATGGAGGAGGCTGCCACCGGACCTCATGGCTCTGGCTGGGTGACTGAGCCACCTCCACTTCTCTCCTGGGCAAAGAGTTTGGCGCCCCTGACCCCCCCCCTTTCCTCCCCCCTGGAGGGCTGGGCTGGGAAACCAGAAGGCTGTCAAGATCACCCAGAGCTCCCAGTTTATGAGCAGATGCAGCCCACTAATTTTATTAAGCACACTATGGACCCTGAGCTGGAACAGAACTGTCGCTACGTGAGTATTGGCCAACGTATCCCATATGTATCCCAACGTATCCCGGAGCTGGAAGACCAGCAGAAAGGAGAGCCCCGGAGACGGAGCCAGCCAGTCACCATTGCCGCATCGGCACCGCCCAGCTGGAACCTTACAGGAGGACCGCCGCCACCAGAGGACGATTGTAGAGGGAGGAGGAGAAACACTAAGACCTTCTCTCCTCGTGACCTCTGGCGGGCTACACCCTTTCATTGTGTGGCCATGTTTGTCGGTCCGGCCTTGCGAGACCAGTGGGGCTGCCACGCACCACGAGGGGCCTGGCTGGCACTATCCCTTTGTCATTGCTGCCGCTGCTGCTGGGGGGGGCTGGCCCTTTGTGACTCTTGACCTGGATTCTCAGAATCTTTTACCTAGTGTATGCTGATTGTATGATTGTTTTTTAACCTTTTTGAGTTTATTGTATTAGGGTGTGTATGGGTGTGAGTGATGGAGCTGGGAGCAAGAACTGGTGCCCCCTCTGCTGAGTGTGTAAACAGAAGTGGAGGGGGGGCAGATGTACTTCCCGGCTCGATTTGAATGTGAGATGTGGCCTGCCGGGAGGGGGGGAAGGTGGGAGGGAGACCTGCGGGGTGGGTGGGGAGTTTTCGGGGGTGGAGGTGGGCCGGAACATCCCGGTTATCGTAGGGAGAGGTAGATATGGCGGGAGCCAAGGGATGGGCCATCTTCGGGGAACAAGGACTCGCTGCATTAGAGCGATTACCTGTTCCGACCCCTTGGACTCTTCTCCAATACCTGGAGAGGGGGGGTGTTCAGGACCCTGGCCTCAGGCTGCTGCTTTTTAATGCCAGGTCGGTTATTAATAAAGCCCCCCTCATCCGGGATTTGATACTGGATGAGGAGGCCGACCTGGCATGTATTACTGAGACCTGGCTGGGCCAAGAGGGAGGTGTTCCTCTCTCAGAGATGTACCCAGACGGGTTTCAGATAATGCACCAACCACGACTCCAGGGAAGGGGTGGGGGAGTGGCGATTCTTGTCCGAGAATCCCTGAGACCTCGCAGGATCCCAGCCCCAGAGGTTGTTGGGTGTGAGTCCCTTCTCTTGAGGTTGGATTCAAGGGTTCAGTCGGGTTTGTTGTTGACATACCTGCCTCCCAGCTATGCTGCTGAGCTGCTGGAGGGGGTAGCCGGGTTGGCGGTGGAATTCCCCAGGCTTATGGTGCTGGGGGATTTCAATTTGCCGTCACTCGGCGAATCCTCTGGTGTGGCTCAGGAGTTCATGGCTTCCATGACAACCATGGACCTGACCCAGATAATTCAGGGTCCGACCCATAGGGGAGGACACATGCTCGACTTGGTATTCCTCTCGGGGCAGGGGAGACGTGATTTCGATTTAAGGGGTATAGTCACTTCTCCCTTGTCATGGTCGGATCACTTCCTGTTGAGGTTAGATTTCTCGGTCCTACTCCCCCACTGCAGGGAGGCGGAACCGATTAGGTGGTTCCGCCCCAGGCGTTTAATGGACCCGGAGGGGTTCCAAATAGCGCTTGGGAGTCTTCCTGATTCCCTCCTCCATGAACCGGCTGAGTCCTTGGTCGCTGCTGGGAATAAGGCGGCATCAGGGGCGTTAGACCGGATCGCGCCTTTGCGACCTCTCCGTGATTGTGGATCCCGGAGGGCACCTTGGTTTTCCGAGAAACTACGGGAGATGAAGCGTCAGAAGAGACGTCTAGAGCGACGCTGGAGGGCTAGTAACTCCGAATCCGACCAGACACTTCCAAGAGCCTATATTAGGACTTATTTAGTGGTGATACGAGCGGCAAAATGTTCGCATTTTTCCGCACTTATTGCGTCTGCAGAATCTCGCCCCGCCGCCCTGTTTAGGGTGGCCCGTTCCCTACTTAATGTTCGGGAAGCTGGGGAGCCCTTACAGGGTAGAGCGGAGGAATTTGTGCAATTCTTATCAGACAAAATCGCTCGGATTCGGACAGACCTAGACTCCGACTGGGCAGGGCCTTTTGAGATGACTGGGGCAAGTCTTAGCTCAGTTTTATGGGATGAATTTGAGTCTGTGACCGCTGAGGATGTTGACAGAGCGGTGGGAGCAATGAGCGCCTCCACCTGTTTATTGGACCTGTGTCCTTCCTGGTTGGTCTTGGCTGCCAAGGAGGTGACACAAAGCTGGCTCCAGGTATTGATCAACGCTTCGTTGAGGGAGGGGTCTTTTCCACAATCCCTGAAGGAGGTGGTTGTGAGGCCCCTGGACCCGGCTGATTTAAATAACTTCCGTCCAGTCTCCAATCTCCCCTTTGTGGGGAAGGTTGTAGAGAGAGTGGTGGCGCTCCAGCTCCGACGGTCTCTGGATGAAGCGGATTATCCAGACCCTTTTCAATCTGGCTTCAGGCCCGGCTTCAGCACAGAAACCGCTTTGGTCGCGCTGATGGATGATCTCTGGTGGGCCCGAGACAGAGGTTATTCCTCTGTCTTGGTGCTACTTGACCTCTCAGCGGCCTTCGATACCATCGATCATGGTATCCTTCTGCAACGACTCAAAGGGGTGGGAGTGGGAGGCACCGTTTTATGGTGGTTCTCCTCCTACCTCTCTGGCCGGTCGCAATCGGTATTGGTGGGAGGGCAGAGGTCAACCCCGAGGCCCCTTGAATGTGGCATGCCACAGGGGTCGGTCCTCTCTCCCCTCCTATTTAACATTTATATGAAGCCGCTGGGTGAGATCATCAGACAGCACGGGGTGAGGTTTCATCAGTATGCTGATAATACCCAGTTATATATCTCCTCCCCGAGCTCTCTCAGTGAAGCGGCCGATGTGATGGGCCGTTGCCTCGAAGCCGTGAGGGTCTGAATGGGGGTTAACAGACTCAGGCTCAATCCTGACAAGACCGAGTGGCTTTGGATGTTGCCTCCCAAGGATCATGTCGACTGTCCAGTGTTGACTCTTGCGGGAGAAAATATACCCCCTTCAGAGCGGGTTCGCAACTTGGGTGTCCTCCTTGATCCACAGCTGAATTTGGAACATCAATTGACGGCTGTGGCTGGGAGGACCTTTGCACAAGTTCGCCTGTTGCACCAGTTGCGACCCTACCTGGACCGGGAGGCTCTCCTTACAGTCACTCACGCCCTTGTCACCTCACGTTTGGACTACTGCAACGCGCTCTACATGGGGCTACCCTTGAAAAGTATTCGGAGACTACAGTTGGTCCAGAATGCAGCCGCGCAAGTGATAGTGGGTGCTCCTCGATACACCCACGTTACACCTGTCCTCCGTGAGCTGCACTGGTTGCCTATTGGTCTCCGGGTCCAATTCAAGGTGTTGGTCATTACCTTTAAAGCCCTATATGGCTCAGGGCCAGGCTATTTGCGAGACCGCCTACTACCTCATAGTTCCCTACGTCCGGTTAGATCCCACAGGCTGGGCCTCCTTCAGGCCCCGTCGGCCAAGCAGTGCCATTTGGCGGGGCTGCGGAGGAGGGCCTTCTCTGTGATGGCGCCCACGCTTTGGAATCAGCTCCCCCCGGAGATTAGGACCGCTCCCACCCTGTTGGTCTTCCGTAAGCTACTTAAGACCTGGCTTTTCCGGCAGGCCTGGGGTTTATAAAACCTTACCCCTGGATGATTGTTTTTGTATTGTTGTTTGTTATGTTTTATGTGTTTTTTATTGTTAGCCGCCCAGAGTCCTTTGGGAGTGGGGCGGCTTATAAATTTTAAAAATAAAATAAAAATAAATAATAAAACAGAGCAGAATTTGTACAAAGGGTGGGATGTAGACACGGCAGCCTGTTTCCATGGTCCAGTGTAGTTTTTGCAATTACATGACCAAGAATGTCTGTATGTGGGGCATCCTCAAGGACAGCCATGACACAAGGATTTTTTTTTTGAGTCTGATGAGATCTAAGTGAACATGGATCCCAAAATGCCACCTCCTCATGCAGGGTATCTCAAAGGTGGGGGGGGGGGTGAGGTCACCTGCGTTCCAAACAATCTGGAGAAATGCCTCCCCTTCCACCCAGGGCAGTTCCAGTTGATGGGCAGTGCCCAGTTCTTGCTGGCATCCTTGGTGAAGCTGGTGCTGCTCACCAAGCTGAGTCCCTCCCAATCAGAGCCCGGTAGGTGCCCAGGAGAGAAGACGCCAGCTCCTCCGATGCCATGGCTTGTACCCACAGAAGGACAGGGGCTCTGGGGAGCAGATCGCTGACCCTCGGCTCCTCCTGACTTCCAGAGGGGAGGCTGGGACGGAGCGCCTTGCCCACTTTCGTCCAGCTCAATGTCCGAGCAGAGCAGACAAGCTCGGGGAAAGGAAACTTGGGTGGCTCCTGTGTCGGGAGGGAGAGAGGCCCCCCCAGTCCTCCCCCCACCACCCTGTCTGTGCTGGCTCCTTGGGTGGGAAGGGCTGCCACACGCTGCCCTCTCTGCCTGGCAAGGAGGGAAGGGAGCAGCCAGAGGGGCACCCATTGCTACGGAGGCGGGGGGGCACCAGAAAAGTGCCCCACAGGTGTGGCAAACTCTGTGGTGGTGAAGGGGGGGCAGCCTTTGTGCCCTTCTGGGAATCGCATCCCGAGCAACACCCCTACGACACACACAGCATCCGGGACCACCGTCTCCTTCGGGCAATAATTTATTCCAGAATTCCCTTCCTTCCGAAGGCGCCTGGAGGCTCCCTGCGCCTGGCCTCGTCCTGATGCATCCCTCTTTCTTCAGCACGAAGAAGCAGGCCGAGCTTCCCTCCACGGAGCCCTTAGGGAGAGCCTGGGAAAGGGAAGGAGGCCTCAGAAACGGTCTTCCCTGGGGATGGGGGGGACAGGCGGGGGGGATTCCCAGCCCTCCCTCCAGGGGTGTTGGACAGCCCCTCCAGCCTCCACCTTCGTGACACCCCAGCTACTCTAGTAGCCCTCATTCCCCCTTCCCTGGGGGAAGCTGACCTGCTCTTCTGGAGCAGGCTTAGGGGTGAGGGGAGCCCTTCTAGCTGGGGGTTGGAGCAGGGGGTCTTCTGGGATATATGTCCTGGGATATCTATGGCCAGAGGGCCTGATCCCCCAGCACCATTTTGAGGGGGGAGCAGGAAGAAGGCTCCTTTAGCAGTCCTGGGGGGGCTGGCTCTCCTTCCCCCCTTCCTCTTCTTTGCACATGGCCCCCAAGGGGCGGATTGAGGGGAGCAGTTACAGGACCCTCTGCTCCTTTGCACAGGACCCCCCCACACCTTGCAGCTCCAAACACCCCCGTCTCCTGACGCATGACCGCTCGCACAACCATTTTCTTTCGAAGTTGTTGTTGATGTTGTGTCCCCCACAGCCCCTGAAGATTAAACTCTTGCAGCTTTTGGTCTTGGGGTCGAAAAACCACCGTTCTCGTTTGTAATTGCAAACGCCCTCGATGGGCGGCAGGTGGCAGACGTCTGCAGGGAGGATGGAGGAGATGGAGGTTGGCATAAGGTGGGCAGCTATATAGATGTGTAAGGAAGGAAGGGAGGGAGGGAGGGAGGAAAGAAAGAAGGAGGGAGGGGGAAGGGAGAGAGGGAGGGACAAAGGAAGGAGGGAAGGAAGGAAGGAAGGAAGGAAGGAAGGAAGGAAGGAAGGAAGGAAGGAAGGAAGGAAGGAAGGAAAGAAGGAAGGAAGGAAAGGGAAGGAAGGAACCCAGAAAGCTGGGCCCAGGGAAGTCCCAGCATCAGGGGACTCAGCCTTCCCTCCCCCCATGCCCTCCCCCTTTCCTCCCTCGGCTGTATTTCAGCATTTGGGGCTTCCTTTCAGGCAGGCACCCCTGGAAACGGGGGGTGCAGGCAGGAGCTCCTCCTGGGCGCAGCACGAATGGGGGAGAACTGGGATGCAGCCCCCTCCTCCCTCCCAGGTTGCTTCCCTCCTCCTGCCTGTTTCAGGGTTAGGCTTAGATATGAACAGACGCAACACATCTGTCATTCTGCCTATTCATTCCGGAATCTTCTCTGCGTTTCCCCCCCCCAAGCCTGACCTGCCCACCTGCCTGTCTGACGGAGCCCCTGCCCTTCCGTCCCGTCCTGGAGTGGAGCCTCCGAGTCTGCGCTGCCTGCCTGCAGGTCCCGGGGTTCAGGCCAAGGAGCAGTGAAGACCTGGACGGCTCCCCTGGCTTGACCCCCAGCCTGCACAGAACCCCCGCCCATTCAGCCCTTCCTCAGGAGGGCAGCCCCGATGGCGGAGGAAAAGTGGGGGGGGGCTTCTGAGCTGAGGCCCAGCTTGACTGCGAAAGTGAATCCCTCCCCTGGGCTGTGGGAAGCGCCCCTCATGCAGCCCCACAAAGGGTGCTGGAGCAACCCCATCAGAGACAGTTGGGGGGAGGGAAAGAGGGGAGCCTCCCCCCACCCCGTACTGGACCCTGAAGTGAGAACTGGTCAAGGGTGGGCTGGGTCATGCAGGGGCAGCACCCCCAAAGAAGCTTAGAAGAAAGGGTGCAAAGCTGGGTTGGGCCTTTTCCCACAGGGGCTCAGCAGACCCCCCCCCTCCCAAAGACCCCTGCCACTGTTCAGCTTGCCCCCCGGCCCCCAGACATGACTCCTCCCTGCCCCGCAACTGGGCTTACTCTTCGGGTGACAGTACTCCAGGCATTGCTCCATGCTGATGTAGCGGTTGAGCCTTGCGGGGCATCCATAGTCAACAAAAGTCTCGCACCTCTCATTGATGACGTTGTAGAAAAAACGATCTACAGGCTCACCGCATTGCTTGAGATTTTCGTGGAATTGGAAACAGTTGCCATCATCTGGGTAGAGAGAAAAAGATTTGGGAAACTCAACCTTTGCCCAGTTGTAGATGCTCAGGGGGAGGCAGGCGCATCAGTTCGGGAAAAGGCTGGAGGGAAAGGGGGTTGTCAGGTGAAACCAGCAAGGCCGTTTCGAAAGAGGCAGAAGAAGCGAAGTCTTAAAGGAGGAAAAAAACATGGATAGGAGGGGGGGATGCTAAACACGAGTCAGTGGAGAAGTAGAGACTCTGGCTGAAAAGAAGCCACGATTCCCGGTCTTTTGTGCTGCTGATCAGTTCACAGCTTGGACGTTGCACTCAATTCTGTGTCCTAAATTTGAGGGAGGAAATTGATGACCAGGACCAGCATTCAAACAAACAATTGTGGGGAGGTGGGCTTAGCCTTGAGAAGGGGAAGGAAGGGAAGCGAGGAAGGAAAGGGAAAGAGCAGGGACAGAATAACAAACAAGGTTTCCATGATTAAGGAGGCAGATTAAGCTTGGGAAAACCCTGATCGTAGTCACAGCTCTTTGACTCTGGCGTGGACACCCGTGAGAAGCAGGGAGCTCTCCTTTATGGGAGGGTCTGAACAGAGCTGGGGGAGGGAGAGCATCTGTCAGGGATGCCCTAAGCAGAGGGTGGACTAGATGACCTCCCAGAGTCTAAATTCTTACATTCTGTATAATTCCACCAATATTTGTTTCAAGACCAATAACTCCTTCCTCTGTTTCTGGGTGTTAAATGTTATCATAATGTTATTAACATTAAGAACATCAATTATGTTATCCATATTAATTATTATATAATTATATAATATATATATATAATAGGTGGCATAAGAATTAAACAAATAAATAAATAATATTAAAATAACCCTGCGGGCTGCTGTGATCCCCTTTGGGGAGGGTGGGGGGAAGGCGCAGACCCGACCCCGTTCATCCATGTCTTCTTCTGCAGCAGAATCCTCTCTCTGATTCCGGACCTTCCCCCTCTGCTCGCCCCTTCCCATGACCCCCTTTGAAAGGGTCGCCCCGCCCTGCCTTCCAATTCTGAGGCGGGCAGCGTCCTAGGGACCCCTTCCCAAAGCCGAAAGGGCACCGGGCCGACAGGGACCCCAAAAGAAAGCCTGGCCCAGCAGAGCCTCCTCCCTGCTCCTTCTCCAGTCTAGAGTTTCACGAAGGATGGAGGACTGCTATTCTTGAATCCAGGGAAGAGAATGGGCGGTTTCTGGGGGGCTGAAAGGGGGGTTCTCCTGGGTATTCAGGGCAGGCGGGTTTAGATAAGGTGACTGCTTTGGAGGTCTGAAACCCCTCTGGCTGAGGCATCCCACCGCCCACTGCCCTCTCCCCCTCCACACTCACAGGAGTCGGCCAGTATGAGCTCAGGGATACAGAGGGCAAAGTCGCCCCAGAAGAGGAGGAGGAGGAGATGGAGGAGGCTGCCACCGGACCTCATGGCTCTGGCTGGGTGACTGAGCCACCTCCACTTCTCTCCTGGGCAAAGAATTTGGCGCCCCTGACCCCCCCCCCTTTCCTTCCCCCTGGAGGGCTGGGCTGGGAATCCAGAGGGCCATCAAGATCACCCAGAGCTCCCAGTTTATGAGCAGATGCAGCCCACTAATTTTATTAAGCACACCACAGCCACTGAGCTGGAACAGAGCAGAATTTGTACAAAGGGTGGGATGTAGACACGGCAGCCTGTTTCCATAGTCCAGCGTAGTTTTTGCAATTTTGTGACCACGAATGTCTGCATGTGGGACATCCTCAAGGGCAGCCATGACAGAAGGAATTTTTTTGAGCCTGAGGGGAATTGGTCAAAAGGCCCCAAGCATCCATCTGAGAGGGATTTGGCTGTAGCAGGACTGTCCTGAGGCTTCAGGTGGGGAAAGTGTGCAGCTGCAGCCGGTCTGTGATGAGGAAGAGGAACTGCCTTCTGCATCTGATCCGAGATTTCTCTGTAGGGCAGAGAAAAGGCAGGAGCAGCAAAGGCCAGCCAGATTACCCGTGAGGAGGTTGCCTCACCGTTCTTGATGGGCTGCAGCAGAAGCTGGTTATTTAGCACAGCTGACAGATGGAGACACTGCTGGGAACTACATGTTTCTTTTCTTGCTGTGTGTTCTTGCCTTGAAGTTCAGATCATATCTCTTCAGCTGCTTCCTTTGCTTTACCTTTCTTTTGCCTCCTGGACTTGCCTTGGCTTGAGGACTAGTGTTCATTTGAGTGGCCCATGGAACTCGTTGGGGTTGAGCTGGTGCCGGCCCAGGGAATTGCTGGGGAATACCAATTCAGGCTCAGAAGCTTTAATAAAGTCCCCTTACACCCATGGTGTGTGGGTGTGTGTGAGAGAGACAGCACAACTATAGAGAGTGGGTATAAAGTCCTATTAATAGATGGGCTGCTTTCCCATCTTGGTTTAGACAACAGTGTGGGGGGCAAGTGACACATATTGGGAGACCGCCCTATTAATTTCACATCCACAAAAATATTTTACCTCCATCTGGACAAGATAAAAAGCACAAGAAATGTTGTAGACGGCGCCCCATTCACCCTTCCGGCAACAGCTGGGCTGGATTGCAACACATCTTTATTTGGGTTGCTGCTTTTGTGTTGGAAGCACTGAGGCACCTCTGGCATGAAAGGCTTAGATGGCGACATCACCACTGACCAGGGGGGTGCTCGTGTTCCTATTAATGTGCCCACCGAAGTGGTGCCTGTTGATCTGCTCACAATTACTTGGTTTTCAAGCTGCTTCTTGGGCAGGAGCTGGAGTGAATGATGGGAGCTCACCCTGACACACAGTAGCACTGGAGACTCAGACGTGGACATGCTCATGGTCAGCCCAGTGTGTTCTAACCACGTGAACCACTGCGTTCCTTTGCTTGGGTGACACCCCTTTTTTGGTGATATCAGGACAATTGGGGGAAGCACCTTTAGGATGGGACAGTGTACGAGATGACAGCTACCATAAGAGACAAGAATGGAAAAACTCCTGACAACCATGATCAACCTGTCTCTCTGGTGCTAAAAATTGTGTAGCCATGAACACCCACATCCCTCCCAGTTGAATTCAACCTGCGTTGATGCCATCACACTGATGGTATTGGAGGTTACAACGCGTGCCTTTAAACATGAAGCTACCCACTTTACCCAGAATTGCCTGTTCCTTGGGATGAAGTCACAAAACACTGCATGGGTGCTGAAGCCCCAGTGGCACTAACACCAGTGTCAGGGGATGGTCAGTCTTAGTGACTCCAAGAAATCTCATATCTGAAAAAAGCCCCTTGAGGACGAGAGAGATAAATGGGCACTGCTGTACAAAAAGTGCCAAAATACCCTTGATGGCATTGACACAGCAATGTCCACAACAGGGGTGGGTCTTGGCGGTGTGGGCCTCCTATCCACCATATTGGAATATTCATGAGCAGGAAGAGTCATGTGGTAACTCAGTCAGCCAATGTGAAGAAAGTGCTACTGAGTCTGTGCAAAAGGTATTGAATTAGAAGCTGAATTTTCAATCTCAGGTTTGTCTCTGTATCTCTCTGTAAGAAGTCTTCATTGAGCTATGTTGCTGTAAAAAAGAATGTATGGTATTTTAAATATTTTGATATGAATACAAAAAGGTTATATGAATCAGCTAAATGCAGTCAACTGTGAAAGCTTCTGATTTATTTTTCACCAACAGAGAAATTAAAATTCTCTAACAGGTTATGGGCCCAGAGCTTACTAAGGACTGCATTGTAATTTAAAGCTGGAAGAAATTGCCTGTGTTTAGAAAGTATAAGGACAAGGCAGAATAAGCAGAATGGCTGCAATGGAATTTAAGGAAAGCTCTGTGCCTTGTTTAGGCCAGAAGAATTACATTGTGTGGGCTGCTAAAATGGAATGTTTGCTCAAGGCTAAAGAGCTGTGGTATATCATAGAAAATCCACCACAAGTGATCAAGCAATGGCTTATCTCATCTTCAATTTAGATGATGAACAATTTCTAAATGTTGCAAATTTAAAGACTGCAAAGGAGATTTAGTTGAAGTTGAAAGCTGTGCACATGCATGTTTCTGCATGCAATATAGTGCAATTGTCAAGAAAACTTTACAGGGCCTGTTTGCAACCAGGTGAATCTGTGGAACAGCATTTAAATAAAATGCAAAGTTTATTTTTGGACTTAGAACAACATGGGATTAAATTCCGAGTCCCAGAAGGTTTTATTGGTGTTGAACAGTTTAGATAAAACCTGGGACACACTTTCTGTGATATTTGAGTGTAAAGAAGAGCAAGAATTAAATTTTGAGGCTTTAAAGGCATGTTTGCTTAATGAAGAAGAAAAGCAACATTTTAGGAACAGCCATGAGGAGATGAAATTTCTAAGGAGGGGGTCCAGACTGCAAGTCTCTGGAGAAGAAACAAGCAGATGGGACCAAGTTGCATCAAAAGAGAGATTTTGCAAGCAGAGAGCTCAGCAAGAAAAGAATTGCTACATTTGTGGAGCAAACACATATCTGAAAAGGAACTGTTTGCAGAGGAACAATTTACAGTGAAGGACATTTGTGCAAGCAAAAAAGACTGATTTGCAAAAGGAACATTTTGGTGTTGCAAAAGTTTGCTATAGCAACAACAGAGACAAGTGGCTAAGAGATAGTGGGGCAAGTCAAACAATTGTTAATGACTCTGAATTATTTTGCAAGTTTGTTCCAGTAGCACAAGAAGCTGTGGCTTTGGCAAATGGCCAGAAAGCAAAAGTCATCAGAAGAGGCGATATAAAAATTCCATATTTGGAATCAAAGTTTATCAATGTGCTTTGTGTACCTGAGATGGAACATAATTTGTTAAGTGTGTCTAATTTAGACAAACAAGGATTTGAAATCATTTTTGTAAATGGGAAGTGTCTCATCAAAAGGAATGGGAATATTTGTGCAGAAGGCATAAAGGATGATAATCTATATATATTGCAGGGACAAAAGGTTCAATGTTCCCATATATTTAAGAATGTTGCAGAGCATGATTCATGCGTTCATCTTCTACATAAAAGACTTGGCCATGCAAGCTTTAAAGTTTTGCAGCAAATGCAAGAGTTTGCCAAAGGGCTAAATTTGAAGGGATGCAAAACATATTTGGACTGTGCAGTATGCAAAGCATCGAAGTCAAAGGCATTCCCAGTTAGTAAATGTAGCACAAGACAAACAAAAAGAGTTCTAGAGCTGGTTCATGCAGATCTGGTGGGACCTATGCAAGCCAGTTTGGGAGGAGCAAAATATGCACTGGTAATTGTTGATGATTATAGCAGGTATTCATTTTGCTATTTGCTTAGAGCAAAGACAGAGGTGCTACAACAATTCAAACAGTGGGTACGTTTTGTAGAGAGAAGGTACAGACAACAAGTGTACCAGTTGCAAACTGACAGAGGTACTGAATTTATGTCAACTAAATTCCAACAATGGTTGGGGCAGTTGGGGATAAGATACAGACATACAAATCCTTACACAGCAGCAGAAAATGATGTAGTTGAAAAAAGAATGGTGTTTTGCAAACAATGAAAGATTCATTATTAGAGGATTCTGGTATGAGCAAGTCATATTGGGGAGAAGCCATATTGACTGCCAATTATATAGTTAATAGGCTTTGGAATTCCTCCATTAACAATACTTCATATGCCATTCTATATGGGAGAAAGCCATCACTGGCACATTTGAGAATTTTTGGAAGTACTGCATGGGTACATATTCCAAAAGCAATCAGAAGAAAGGGACAGCAAAAGGCAAGAAAGCTCAGGTTTGTGGGCTATGAGCCAGGGTCAAAAGGATATCGCTTTAGCGATGGAAGTAAAATAATTGTAATTTCAAGGTCTGCTAATTTTGCAGAACAAAATTGGGACAGAATTAATGCAAATTCTGGGTATGTTTCACTTAATGATGGTGATCTATTTAACAACAATAACTCATCTAATGATAAAAAATGATTATTGACGATGTCCATGTTCAGGGAGGAGAGGCTGAACAAGACATGAAACCAGAAAGACTTGAGACACAGGAGCAGTTAATACCATGTAGATCAGAGCAATGTAATAGAGGAATTCCGCCTGACAGGTATTCTGCCAGCAAGGTAAAGGTTTGCAATGTGTGGTATGAGCCAAGAAGTTATAAAGAGGTGTTGGCATTACCAAAAGCTGAACAAGAAAGATGGAAGGAGGCCATGGATAAAGAGATGAAATCCATGGGAGACCATGAAGTATTTAAATCAGTGACTTTGCCACAGGGAACCAGAGCTGTGGGTTGTAAGTGGGTATATAAGAAAAAGGTATTGCCAAATAATGATCTACAGTATAAGGGCAGGTTAGTGGCACAAGGTTTTTCACAATTAAAGAATGTGCACTACGATGAAGTATTTGTGCCAACTGTGAAAAGTGAGAGTATAAGATTAGCACTGGCGTTGGCAGCGGCATATAAGCATAAAATCTGGCACTTTGATATCACAACTGCATTCCTCAATGCTGAGTTAGAGGAAGAAATTTATATGATCCAAGCACGAGGATACGAAATTGCAAAACCTAACATGGTGTATAAATTAAACAAGCCTATTTATGGGCTGAAGCAGTCAGACAGAAACTGGAATATCTGTTTAGATTTAAAAGTTGCAAAGCTGATAATTGTATATATACCAGACAGTTACAAGGAGGGAATTGTCTACTGTTATTTGTGGATGATCTTTGCTTCATCGCAAAGGATGCATCACAAGTCAAGGAATTTGCTGATAAATTAGGAAAGAAATTCTAATTAAAGAATTTGGGAGAAATAAAAAATTATCTCAGTGTAGAGATACAGAAAAATGAAAAAGATGGTTATATTCTCAGTCAAAGGAGAAAAATTGAGTAGTTACTGGAAAAATATAATATGAAAGATAGCAATACTGCTCCCACATCCATGAGTATGGATTTTTATAATAGTTTAAGTGCGGACAAACGTGAAACCTGTGATCAAGAGATATATCACTCAGCAATAGGGAGTCTGTTATATCTATCACAGTGGTCCAGACCCGACATAGCTTGCGCAGTAAGCATTTTGAGTTATTTTACTGTTGCACCTACAAAGTTACATTGGATGGGTGTAAAAAGGGTTCTCAGATATTTAAAGGGAACTATAAATTTGGGTCTTCAAATACAGATTACTGAGGAATTGAAATTAAAGTGTTATGTCGATAGTGACTATGCAAATGACATAAACACAAGGAAATCAAATTCTGGGATTATAATATTGTTTGGAGGGACTCTGATTGGATGGAAGTCCAGAAAACAAACAACTGTTGCTATTTCAACAGCGGAAGCAGAGTTTATTGCTTTATCTGAATTGTGTTCTGAAGTAACATGGTATGTACAGTTGTTGCAAGATTTAAATATTAATGTAAAAGAATCTGTAAAGGTATTTGAAGACAATGCTGCCTGTATAAAAATGGCAACTGGTGAAAGGGTGAAGAACAGAAGTAAACATGTAAACATTAAGTATTGTAATGTCAGCGAAGCTGTAAAAGGAAAATTGATTAGTTTACATCATTGTTCTTCTGAGGATAATTTGGCAGACATGATGACTAAACCATTGGGTAGTGTTCACTATGGAGAATGTATTAAGTCAATAGGTCTGATGTCTCTTCCTGTCATGAAGGGAGGAGTGTTGGAATATTCATGAGCAGGAAGAGTCATGTGGTAACTCAGTCAGTCAATGTGAAGAAAGTGCTACTGAGTCTGTGCAAAAGGTATTGAGTTAGAAGCTGAATTTTCAGTCTCAGGTTTGTCTCTGTATCTCTCTGTAAGAGGTCTTCATTGAGCTATGTTGCTGTAAAGAAGAATGTATGGTATTGTAAATATTTTGATATGAATATAAAAAGGTTATCTGAATCAGCTAAATACAGTCAACTGTGAGAGCTTCTTATTTATTTTTCACCAACAGAGAAATTAAAATTCTCTAACACACCATTATTGCCCCCCCCCCCGGGTTGCCTTGGGCCTTGAAATCACAGCTTTGGCCTTCGGTGTCCTTAGGGCAACCAGTCAATTTGTCAGTCGCTGGCCCACAGGCAGAACCAAAAAGTGTGATCAGATCAGAATCCTAGCCAATGACAAACTGAACACGATCGCTGTCCCTCACCCTCACGTCTAGCTTTGCTACCTCCTGCTTGTTATTTGTTGGGACACAAAATAACAATGGTCAGGATGACCCACTTTAGTGTATCCTATAATTTTACTCCACAATTACTGCACAATTAGAGAGTTGGTGGAGCAGCTGCACAATGAACAATGATCAAATGTGTGAGAAGTAAAAGAATGACAGAGCTGGAAGGACCCTTAGAGGTCTCCTAGACCAACCCCTGCTTGAGCAGGAGACCCTAGACCAGGGGTGCCCAAATTTGGAACTTTAAGACTTGTGGGCTTCAGCTCCCAGAATTCCCCAGCTATCCATGCTACCTGGGGAATTTTGGGACTTGAAGTCCACAGGTCTTAAAAGTTCCTGAGGTTGGACACTCCTGCCTTATAGCATTCCAGACAAATGGCTGTCCAATCTCTTCCTCCAGTGAGGGAGCACCCACAACATCTTGAGGCAAGCTGTTCCACTGGTTGATTGTCCTCACTGTCCAGAAGTTTCTCCTTAATTCCAGGTTGCTTCTTTCCTTGATTAGTTTCCATCTGTTACTTTTTGTTCTGCCTTCAGGTGCTTTGAGAATAGGGGTCCATCTTCACTTAGATGACATCAGGCTCAAAAAACAAAATCCTTGTGTCATGGCTGCCTTTGACGATGTCCCTCATGCAGATATTGTCATGGTTCCGACAGATTAAACTTTCAAAAGAACTTCAAGGCATTGTTTACCTTAAAGAATCTTTTATTCGGGAAGCATAATATCGGCACTACATAGTTGAAGCCAAAAACTGAATTCCCCTTCCCTGGGCACAAAGTAGGAAAACACGATTCCCTCCTCCAACTAACAGTCATAAATCACATTCCCCAACTAACTTGAAACATGGGCTCTCTCCACAGCTCTCCAGCCCATCATTATCAACTCTGGGCTCAGTAAACTTGAATTCCCACGGCTGAGTTTTTTGTGGTTATGACTAACTGAACTCTCATCCACATTCCCCCCTCCCAGCATCAATCAGCTCTAAAAGCAAAAGAGAAAAATGAATGCATTTCCATGTCAAGCAATGTTAGCAGACGTTCTTGGTCACAAAATTGTAAAAACTACACTGGACTATACAAACAGCCTGCCGTGCCTAAATCCCACTCATTATACAAATTCTGTTGTCTTTTTGCTCAGTGGCCGTAGTGTGCTTAATAAAATTAGTGGGCTGTGTCTGCTCATAAACAGGGGAGCACTGGGTAATCCTGATTGGAACAGTATAGTGTTGTGGTCCATTGGCTGCCAGCAGAGTTGGCATCCAAGTCCGAGGAGGAGGAGGCACCTGAGTTAATACATCAGAGCCTTTGGAAGGCTTTGATGAGCAAGGAGACTCAGAGCCAGATGCGGAGCCGGGGCCATCTGCCCATGCTAAGGTGGAGAGGCAGCCGTTTTCGGGGCCTGAGCTGAGTGAGGAACAGATGGGTCCGTCCCAGATGCGTGTATGTGCAGAGAGGAGAGCAATGGAAGGCAATGAGATGGTTCTCAGGGAAAAGATGAAGACGTTAGCCAGCCCCTCCCTGGCTGGAACATAAGTAGGAGGGGTGTGGGAGTGGCCAGTTGTCACAGACAACCATTCGTGTTACAGGACATTTCCATCAGTCAGATTTATTTGCCAATATTTATTTACTAAGACTCAGGTTTGTCGGGACTACATGTTTTGTGTTTGAAGTGCTAAATGAGTCTCCCTGCTGGAAACTAATAGACTGTAATAGACATTGAAATTGCCTCAGCGGGTGAGGAAGATCACCATTGAAAAGCGATGGCTGAGCCTTGCTAGGAAGCCCATCCCCCCCATTTCCAAAACACAGCCTGGTTCACACAATTGTGTCACCTTCTGGAGGAGCACAAGAACTTCCTGAGAAAAGAGTAAAAGTCACGGTGGCTAATTTCATGCTGTAAAGGGCACATCCAAATCACTCAAGCCACACTCATAGTCTGGCCAGTGGTGTCCAACATAGCTGGCTGGGGAATTCTGGGAGTTGTAGTCCAGAAGCCTTAAAGTTGCCAAGAGTGGACATCCAGGCCTAGTGGCTGAAGGGTAGGAACCCGCAAAATGTACCAAGGATTTTAGGTGTGCAATATCTGCCCCAACACACAAAGGAGTCTTTTTTTTCCAAAGCACATATCCATAGTGTATCAGTATTAGATATCTATTGTATATCTATAGACACCCAGAAAAATACAGCCTACTCCATTTAACCCTCCAGGGAAAGATGGAAGGACAACGAGGCCCAGGCAGAAGAAGAACATCGTGGCTTCAAAATCTAAGGGACCGGTTGGGACAAAACTCAGCAGCACTTGTTCGTGTGGCAGCTGATAAAAACAGGATCGCCAACATGATCGCCAACGTCCGATAACGGATATGGCACAAGAAGATAATATATCTATAGTACATCAGTAGTAGACAGTACAAGTAGTCCTCGACTTACCAGAGTTTGTTTAGTGACTGTTAGACATGAGAACAGTGTTGAAAAAAGGGATGTGACCAGGGTAATGTGATCAAAAAGACATTTGGCAACTGACTCCTATTTATGACGGTCCCAGAGTGTTCCAGAATCACGTGGTCCTCTTTTGCGACCTTCTAACCGGCAAAGTCAATGGAGAAGCCTAGTTCGCTTAATGACCGTGCTACTCACTTAACAACTGCAGTGATTCACTTAGCAACTGAATGGGAAGAAAGGTCGTAAAATGGGGCAAAACTCGCTTAACAGCTGTCTCAGCTACAGAAAATTTTGGGCTCAATTGTGGTCGTAAGTCGAGGGCTCTGTGTACTCAGAGTCTGGAAGCAGCAGGATAGGACACAGATTAGGGACTGTCCTGGCCTCCTATTAAATTGAAATTACAAATTTTCATTTATTTAAAAATTAAAGCTCCAGGCTGCCAAAACTGTGCTTCAGGTCCACCTTCCTTTCTTCCATCCCCTTCCGAGCACTTCTTGGCCTGCCGTTAGGGCCTCGACCCTCCCACAAGGTCTCCCCAGGCATCGAAGATCGGTTTCCCGTCATTGTTGGCCTCTCCAGCCTCAGGAAGAGCTGCCGTTTCTCCCCTCAAGCCAACATCGGCCCCTCCCGCCCCCTCGTCGCTCCAGGCATCGTGGTACGAATAGGCGTCAAAGGGGGATTTGTTTAATCCATAATCCAGCTCCTTGTCAAAGGCGGCATCGCCATCTTCGTTTCTTTCTGCGGCGCCTTCTTCCTTCTCTTTTCCTTTCTCCCCCTCCTCCTGTTCATCATCATCATCATCAAAAAGGTCCTCCTCCTCAGTTTCGTTCCTCTCCTCAGCTTCTTTTTCAGGTTTGGACTCCTTCTCGGCTTCGGGTTTCCCCCCAGGTTCTGGCTTGTCGGAGGCAGTTGACTCGTCGGCAGACGGGTGTTTTTCGTGTCCCAGGTGGGAAGACGGCTTCTCTCCAGATGTGAGCTTTTCACCAGCCAGGGGTCTGCCAGGGCCCTTGGGGCCACAGTTAGAAGCTGGCTTCCCTTCAGGTAGGGGGCCCTCGTGAGTCAGAGGCCCAGCAGCTGAAGCTGGTTTCGGCTTGTCCTGGATGGAGTGTCCAGAACCGGGATCCGGCCTTTCATTTGAGATGGGCTCCCCCGTCCCAGATGTGGGTTTGTCACCTGGGGTGCTAGAAGTGGGCTTTTCGCTAGCGTTTAGCTTCCCACCAGAGGTGGCCTCATTATTGGGATCCCAGACCGGGTTCCAGGTTCCCAGATTGGGCAACACTGGCGTGGAAGCCGACTTGGGTCTGCCGAGGCCGCCGGACTTCTCCTTCCAGGGCATGTTCCCACCAGGCAAGCGCTTCTCCCTGGAGACAGGGCCCCCTCCCCGCTGGGGCCCAGTGTCCGGAGAGGGGTCCCTCTCAGATGGCTCTTGGGGCTTCTCAGCTGCTCCGGGCCTTCCAGAAGATTGAACTTCCAGGTTATTTGCAGGTGGTCTTTCCGGCGGTGGATACGTTTTAGGGATGAGCTTTCCAGGGGGGGCTGGACCTGCTGCCCCAGGGGGAAGGCCACCTTCCTTGCCCGACTGGGGCTCTTCAGCCACCATCTCCCCGTCCTCACGGCTTTCCTTCCCCTGGGGCCAAGGACTCTTCTGCCCCACCTCAGGCTCTGGGGCCATCATGCATGCCAGCATTGCTTCCTCCTCCTGCGAGACCCTGTCCTGGGGGGCTTCCCCAGGGGCACCGCTGGGGGACAGAGGGGGCTGTCCAGGAGTCCCTAAATAAGGGGGAGAGAAGGCAAATGGCGTCAGAGGGAGGGAAGGAGGCCTGGACCTGCCAACGCATGATCTAGAGGGGGGGTGGCTGGTTCTCTTGGGCTCCTTCTGGGGTCCCACTGAAACTGAGTTGATGGGCCCCTCGTTCCCTTTGCAAGGAGGGAGATCCTTCTCCTTCTAGGGACCCTCCCCCAAATAAGGACCCGGATGTCTCCTTGGTGCAAAACATCTGGGATGATTTTCCCCGGTTGGGTACAGAAACCTCTGCAAGGAAACTTCCTCCTCCCCCCTCCTCTTCCTTTCTGCAAACCACTCCCTGCTAGCACTGATGATGGCACCTAGTTGGGCAATGAAATGTCTGCAAGAAAATAGCCAAACAGTCCTCCTCCCCCGCCTTCCCCTTCCTCCCCCCTTTCTTTCTCCTCCATCCTGCAAACCCCTCTCCCTGCCAACACTGATGATGTTCCCTAGTTGGGTCATGAAACGTCTGCAAAATAACCACCCAGCTCAGAGAGAACCAGGGACCCCACAGTCCTCTTCCTCTTTATCTTCCTCCTCCTACCCCTCTTCCCCTCTCCTCCTCCTACCCCCCACCTCTGCAAACTCCTCTCTGTTCCAACACTGATGATGTTCCCTAGTTGGGTCATGAAATGTCGGCAAGAAAACCACCCAGCTCAGAGAGCACCAGGGACCCTGAGTCCTCTTCCTCCTCCTCTTCCTCTCTCCAAACCCCCTTCCTTTCCAGCACTGATGATGTTCCCTAGTTGGGTCATGAAACGTCTGCAAGAGAGCCACCCAGCTCAGAGAGCACCAAGGACCCCTCATTTCAATCCTGAGCTACACAAATTCTCAATGGACTTGGCTCACCAAATGACTGACATCATCCAGAATGCCCGACCGTGGCAACTCCTAAGACTGGTGGACTTCAACTCCCAGAATTCCCCAGCCAGGCAGGCTGGAAGCTGAAGTCCACCAGCCTTAAAGTGGCCAAGGTTGGACACCCAGGCCTAGACTCTTTGTGAGATTTCACCTGGGCTCTCGCCAAACAGCTTCCATGGCATGGAGCTGGCCCTCTCCTTCTTCCGCGCACTCCCTTCCCTTCCCCGCTTCCTCAACTCGATAATGGGGCGAACATTCCGTATGAAGAGCAAAGACTAATTGTTTAGCACCGTTTATATTACACAATGACAACACTTGTCATGAGGTGTGTCATTATAACAAGCCTGTTCTTTCCACTGAGCCTCTGATGTTTTCTTTGTATTTTTCCTTTTGTGCCTGTGCGAAACTCAACAGGAATTTGTGAGGTTTCTATTTGTCTACAAAATATGTTGGGGGTGGACAAGCTCTCAGGAGCTGAACCCCACCCAAGGCTTGCAGGTGTAAATGAGAGGAAATGACCTGGAAATAATTAGGGGGAAATGAATGGTTAGTCATCAGAATTACAACCATAGGGCCTGGGCAGTTGTGCCCCCCCAAACCAGGGCAAGCTCACTGTGGGGAGGGGGCACAAGGGACCCTCCCAAGGTCTACCCTGCTCACCAGCATTCCTTCCAGTAAGGCTTTTAGGACAGGAGTCTCCAACCATAAGAACTTTAAGACTTGGGTACGTCAGTTCCCAGAATTCCCCAGCCAGCAGGTCTGGCTGGAGAATTCTGGGAGTTGAAGTCCACAAGTCATAAAGTTGACCAGGCTGGAGACACCTGTTTTAGAACACAGAATAAGGACCTGGGTGGTCTTCTAGTCCAACCTTTTACTCAAGGCAGGAGACCTTACATCACTGCCCCCCCCAAGTGTTCCTGGGGGATTCTCAAAGCCCAGTAGATTCTTTGGAAGCCCCAAGTTCTCCACAGGGAGGCCCAGGCGCCCTCAGAGCCCAGCTGGGCAACCTCGGGGGACCCAGAATTTCCCAGTGTGGCTCTGCTGGCCCCCACCCACTGCCCCCTCCCTCGCAGGACTTTGACTGAGCTTTGGGACTGTCTAGGACAGAGCCGGGGAACCTTGGCTCTTTTATGACTTGTGGACTTCAACTCCCAGAATTCCTGAGCCAGCCAACCCCCCCCCCGATTAGCAGGTGACTCTAGACCAGGGGTCTTCAAACTTGGCCCTTTTATGACTTGTGGACTTCAACTCCCAGAATTCCTCAGCCAGGCATGCCTGACTGAGGAATTCTGGGAGTTGAGATCCACAAGTCATAAAAGGGCCAAGTTTGAAGACCCCTGCTCTAGACCTTATGGTTGTCCCAACTGACCTGTTTTATAACAATCACAATGAGCAGACTCCCTTACGGTCATAACCTGAGGACTGCCTGTACCCCAACCTGGCACCTCTTCCGAGAGGAAGGACGCAGCAACTCTGCTGCTGAGGTCGCGGGGTGCAGGAAAGGACCCCGTCCGCTTCCTCCTCCTCCACCCTGCCCACCCCCCCATCTCCCTTGCCCAGGTGGTCTGCTCCACTCCTAGCATCAAGCCAGGCGAGGAGCTGCCTTCACCTGCACGCAGCCTGTACTCACTTCGGGGGGGTGCGGCCGGCAGCCCCGTCCAGAGGACCACAGACCCCACGAGCAGCAAGAGCCACCCCGGCTTCATGCCAGCAGCACCAAGAGACGGATGGCTCCCGGTGCCCAGAGCGCGCTTCTTCCAGGCTATAAAGCCTGCCCTAGGTTGGGCTGTGGGGAGGGAAAGGAATGGCTGGCGGGAGGGCCCGCCAGGCCCTGTGGATAAGCAGGTTGTGAGTCCCTTCCCTGACAGCCACCCCAGAAGTTCTGCCTCCCACACAGCAGCCTGGCAGATCCGGCAACGGCACAAAGCCAGATCGCCTGAAGGCTTCTGGGAGGGAGGGAGGGAGGGAGGGCTGGACCCCAAGGATGACGGCTCTGGCTTCTGCCCATGGGGGGTCTAGGAGACCCCTGCGTTTCTTCCCACCTGCCTAGGCAACCTGCACACTTGGGGTCTACCGAGATCAGCCAGCCAGGAACATTCCTTCTGGCAAAGCTGGCAGCAGTAAAAAAAAAAAAATCGGTCATTTTCAATTCAATTCAATTCAGATAAGAGCTGAAAGGGACCTTGGAGGTCTTCTAGTCCACCCCCTTGCTCAAGCAGGAGACCCTGTACCGTTCAGAATAAGAGAATAGCCGAGTTGGAGAGATGCTTGGAGCAGTGGTGGGATTCAAATAGGTGAACAACTGGTTCTCTGCATGGATGCCGCTTCCGGAAGTCCATTCTGGGCCTGGGCAACAAAAAATTAGCTACTGGTTCTGCCAAACCGGTGCGAACCGGCTGAATCCCACCACTGGCTTGGAGGTCTTCTAGTCCAGAGGCCCCCAAACGTTTGGGCACCAGGGACCAGTTACGTGGAGAGAGGTTTTTCCGCGGACCACAATGTGCGTGGTTTTGTGTGGGGCCTGCATCCTGCGGATGGGGCTTCACTTGTTTGTGTGGACCGGTTACTGGCATGCCGCGGCCCAGTACTGGTCCACAGACCGGGGGTTGGGGACCCCTGTTTTTATCCAACCCTCTGCTCAAGCAGGAGACCCTGTACCATTCAGAACAAGAGAATAACAGAGCTGGAAGGGACCTTGGAGGTCTTCTAGTCCAATCCCCTACTCAAGCAGGAGAACCTGTGCCATTTCAGACAGGTGGCTGTCCCATCTCTTCTTCAAAGCCTCCAATGATGGAGCAGCCACAGTGTCTGGAGGGCAGCCGTCCCACTGGTCAATGGTTCTCCCTGTCAGGTGGCTTCCAGGTTGCTTCTCTCCTTGATTAGGGGGGAAATTCAATGGCATTGAAAGAGAACTTACGGCCATTTTTCTCATGACCGTTGCAGCCTCCCCCTGGTCACATGACCAGAATGCAGACACTGGGCCACCGACTCGTATTTATGACGCTTATGCAGTGTCCCGGGGGTCACGTGATCCTCTTTTGCAACCTTCTAACGAGCCAAGTCCATGGAGGAACCCAGATTCACTTAACAACCACGTGACCAACCTAACAACTGCAGTGTTTCACTTAACAACGGTGGCAAGAAAGGTTGTAAAATGGGGCAAAACTCACTTAACGAGTGTTTCGCTTAGCAACAGAAAATCTTGGGCTCGACTGTGGTCGTAAGCCGAGGACTATCGGTGATGGCCGTGTCTGCCCTTGTGTTATCCAGAGTCGGGCAGCGCTGCTGTTCCTCCCGCCCGCAGCCTCCCATAATCGGGCATGTTTCTTTATGGCTTGGCATCATCGCCCACGGTCCCTGGCAAACGTGCCCAGACTCTGACACACTTTAATTTGTTTATTTAATTTATTCAGAGGACCTACATGGCCGCCCCCTCACTCCCAGCGGCTCTGGCTAGCCGACAAACAATGAAAAGCTCGATAGAAAAAGGATAAAAACAATAAACGTCCACCCCACTGGCGACAACACGCAGTCAAGCGAGGTCCTGCATGGGCTCCATCCTGGCAGGACCAGGGTTTGGGGGTCTTGCGAAGTAGGATCAAAATTGAGGCCAGTCTAATCTCTATGGGAACGATGTTCCAGAGGGTGGGAGCCACCACAGAGAAGGCCCTTCTTGGGGGTCCCGCCACATGTACAGGTAACCTTGCCTTACCGACACTTCATTTAGTGACCAAACTCACAAAGTCACTGCAGTTGTTGAGTTAGTCACCCGCTTGTTAAGTGAGTCCAGCTTGCCCACTGATTTTGCCGATCAGGTGGTGGCAAAAGGGGATCACGTGACTCCGGGACTCTGCAGCTGTCATACATACGAGTCGGTTGCCCAGCGTCTGAATTTCGATCACAAGACCGTGGGGATGCTGCAACGGTCGTAAGTGTGAAAAAGGACCGATTTTCAATTCTGTTGTTAGGTTCGGTCACTTAATGAGCTGCTGTGAGTCAAGGTCTATCTACAGTCGTCTCCCTTGGCCTGGTTTGGAAAAGATATGCACATGGGAAGGCCGAGGAGAAGATGGGTCCTTGCCTTCTCCTGAAGCTACGTCGCTCATTTGCCCGTCTGCACTTGGGAGAGACCGGAAAAGCTGGCCAGGCCTGGAGCAGCCCACAAGGGTTAGCAGTGAGAGGATGCTACATTCCAGGTAGGTCCTTCTTGACCTGCACAGTAAGTGGAAAGAGCCCCCCCCCTTAAAAGAGGGGGGGATAGGACATCATCCATCTCCAGTCTACCCCAAAATCCTTTCAGCAGGTCCAAGGAGGTTCCACCCCCATTTGCACTCCTCAGGTGACCCTGAGGACACAGGTCAACCTCCAGGTGGCCTCAAGGACTCTCTAAAAGGAGGCAAAAGACCAGCTGTCTGCAACGAGTATAAATCCTTCCCTTCTCCACCATCCGGTCAGAACCTGAAGGAGCTTCTGGGATGAGAAGCGAAACGTCTTCAAAGGAAAAAACAAGGAAGTCCAGTTGTCTCCTGAAAAAGCACCTTTGGGACAACCAGGACCTGGATGACTAAGGACCTGCAGAGACATTTACGTGGCACAATGTTCAGGCCCCATTTGCAAAGGGTGATTAGCCTGTGGCATTCCCATCATTGTAGCCGGACACCCTCATCAATTGTCTCTTTAATGGAACAATAACCTTAAGTAATTGAGAAATTAACACCCAAGCATGATAACTATCCTCATTTCCTCACCCACAAGAACAGGAAGAAGTAGCCAGGTGGGAGCAATCTTTACCTGTCTTGGTGGAGACTGTGACAGGGATCAGCTGGCAGAACCAGTTCCTGGGGCAGGTGCCTCGTCTGTCTCCCGCAGGGCTCCCTGGGAAGAAACAACCTGTCAATTCAACCAAAGGAGAAAGAAGGGGGGCAGGCAGAGGGGCTGCCCACACACCTGAGTGACCTCCTCTAGATCACAGGGGTCGCCAATCTTGGCAACTTTAAGACTCGTGGACTTCAACTGCCAGGGTTCCACAGGCAGCGTAGCTGTAATCTGTAATTTTATAAAACTTTTTTACAAAATGAAAACTATCATCACGCATTTTAGAATATGTTGTAAAACGTTTCCTGTGGCCAAGTGAATAACAGAATAGCAGAGTTGGGAGGGACCCTGGAGGTCTTCTAGACCAACCCCCTGCTCAAGAAGGAAACCCTACACCATTTCAGACACATGATTGCGCAATCTCTTCTTTAAAATTTCCAATGATGAAGCACCAACAATTTCTGAAGGCAAATTGTTTCACTGATTAATTGTTCTCCCTGTCAATAATTTTCCACTTAGTTCTAGGTTGCTTCTCTCCGTGATGAGTTTCCATCCGTTGCTTCTTGTCCTGCAGGTGCTTTGGAGAATAGCTTGACTCCCTCTTCTTTGGGGCAGCCCCTGAGATATTGGAACACTGCTGTCATGTCCCCCCTCATCCTTCTCTTCGTTAAACTAGACATACCCAATTCCAGCAACTGTTCTTTGTATGTTTTAGCCTCCGGTCCCCTGATCATCTTTGTTGCTCTTCTCTGCGCTCTTTCTAGAGCAGCGGTTCTCAACCTGTGGGTCGGGACCCTTTCGGGGGTCGCATGACCCTTTCATAGGGGTCGCCTAAGACCATTGGAAAACACATATTTCCGATGGTCTTAGGAACCGAGACACTGCTCCGCATCCGTCTCCGCACGGCCTTCTCCGCCATTTGCAGAGAGAGAGAGAGAGAGAGAGAGGCACTTTCGCTTCCCTTCTCTCTCTCTCTCTCAGGTGGACTTACCTCCTGCAGGGCTCCTGATTGCCCCTGCGCCCGGGTGCCCCATCCCCTGGGAAAAGCGCGGCCAGGGCCTCGTGGCCTTGGAGCCACCCCGGGAAGCCCCCGGGATCCCTGCTGGGAGTGGCCCGCTGGAGGCTCCGCTGAGCGGGCCAGCCCTTCCGCAAGCTGCGGCCCAAGGCAGACAAGCCCCTGCAATCCCCAGACAGCCCGACCATTGGCCCCTCTGGCCAGGAAGGCATGCCAAAGTCCAGGCGGCTGGGAAGGAAAAGGAGATGCAGCAAAGGTAGAAGAGGAGAGCTGCCTCCTGGGGCCCGGCGCTGGCAGCGGCTTCCTTGCCCTCCTCTTCCTCCTCCCCTTCTTCCTCCTACTGCCCCCAAGGCGGCTCGGGCAGGCACCGGGAGGAAGAGCTATGCCTGGGGGGGAGCAGCCAGGCTGGCAGAGGGGCTGGCGGGCTGCGCGGCACAGCCCCACCGCGGCTCCATCGATGGACGGAGGACGAGGCCAGGCAGCGCAGAGTCCCGGCAGGGGCGGCAGCCGGGCCAGGGGCAGTGGGGACCCCCAACGATGCTGCCATAAGAGAGAGAGAGAAAGAGAGGAAAGAGAGAAACAGAGGAAAAGAGAAAAGAAAGAAAGAGAAAGGGAGGAAACAGAGAAAGGGAGAGAAAGAGAGAGAGGAAAAAGAAAGAGAAAAAGAGGAAAGAGTGAAAGAGAGAGAAGAAAGAGAGAAACGGGAGAGGAAAGAGAAAAAGAGGAAAGAGGGAAAGAAAAAGGAAAGAGGAAGAGAGAGAAGAGAGAGAGGAAAGAGAAAGAAAGAGAGAAAGAAGAAAGAGAGGAAAGAGAGAGAAAGAAGGAGGAAAGAGAGAAAGAGGAAAGAGAGAGAAGA